TTTTCTTTCCTTAACAATCTTCATTTTTCTATTATTTGTTTTTACTTTCAAAATTATCTTTTATTATTATTATTTTTTTTATGTAATTTATTCATAAAATTCATTATAAAAAAGCGTCCGCCATTCCGGAAGTCTTTGCACTGCTGTTCTAATTTTAAGTATTTAAAATTGTGTTTGCTACTAATTTCGGTGATTTGTAAAGTTTCATAAGTTATCTTAAAACTATGAGTGCTATAAAAATTCAAAAAACGCCTGCAGTACCTGGAATAATTAATTTTGGTTATACTGAGTTAGAGAAAAAAAAAAGAAAAAACTAGATCGTCACGATGTAAATTTTGTCAAGCTTTAATTACCGATGGAGTTGCGACTACAAGCAACTTCATTCGCCATTTAAAAACATATCCAGAAAAATATGAATTATATCAAAAGTTTATTCAGACAAGACCAACGGCTGCTTCACCAGACCAATCTAAGATTTCAGACTTTCGAGCAGGTTATTTACTTATACTAATTTGTTTTTATTTTATTAGATATTTAAAGTATATTAAATCCTAGAGTCCGTTCTATGTCTACCTCTAGTAGACAAGTAGTCTACTAGAGGTCTGACATTCCATAACAGTTCTTATAGTTCTTATTAGCTTGTACAACAATACATTGCAGTGTCGCACTACATCTTACCACTTAACCCGAAGCTTTTAAATAAAGCTTTAAACTTAGCGTATAAAGCATGGCGTTAAGGATTATTACTTTATAGAATGAGAATGATATTGTATTTATTATTTGTAGTTGCTTTGGGAGAGAGTTCTATGACAACATACGGCCGCACCCACCCCAAGCAACGAAGAATTGTGGCAGCCGTTGTGAAATATCTAGTAGTTGGTGCATCACTACCCGTTTCTATAGTAGAAAGTGAACATTTTAGGCGATACAATAACGTTCTTGAACCTCAGTGCTCAACTATTAGCTGTTTTGCCGTAAAAACCTATTTAGAGAAAACGTATACGGATGCCAAGGAAAAATTAACTGAAAATTTATCTCAAGCTGCAAGCATTTCCTTAACACTTGATATTTGGTCAGATAGAAAAATGAGGGGTTACCTTGGTGTAACAGCGCATTACATACATAACAATCACTGTCACACACGATTGTTGGCATGCGATAGGTTCTTAGGTACTCACACTAGTGATAACATAGCAGAAAATTTTGAATCCATTTGTAAAACATTCTTGACAAAATTCTTGACAAAGTTGTGTATGTTGTGACGGACAATGCCTCAAACATGCGCCAAGCATTTACTACAAATTTTCCAGAAGACATCGAAGGTGGCGGTGATACATCTGCAGAGGAACTTGCAGAGGACTTAGAAAATGAAGACCTGTGGGAAGACATTATTGCACCGGACTAAATAATCAAAAATATCAATCAGCTTAACCCAAGAAGAGAGGTTACAAGACTAAGCTGTTTTGCTCACACCCTACAATTAGTTGTTGGCGATGGTCTTAAAGAGGCAAAAATTTACTCTGCTTAAGCTAAAGCATCCATAATATGCACTTTGCTTCATACTAGTACAACATTTAAAGAGGCTTAAAATGTTTGGCTCCAAACAGGGTATTCCTCGAGTAAACGCAACAAGATGGAATACCAAATTCCGTCACATAAAAAGCGTTGTCAATTTAGATAAAAAGAAATTAAAAATTCTGCTTGATGATTTAAGTCACCGCAATCTAATACTAAATGAAAGAGAATACGTGCAACTTAGAGAGCTAATTGATTTATTGCAACCATTTCTTGAAGCCAACAATATGACTCAAGGTGAACAAAATATAACAATATCATTAGTAGTTCCCTCTATCGTTGGGCTATATAGTCACTTAGAACAATTTAATACAACTTATCTGTCCGGTATGAAACAGGTATTGCGAAACAGTCTTCAAAAAGAATTTTCTGGTATATTTTCAAATGTTGGCCTTATCCCATTAATAGATAAGAAACTACCATTTAATGACTTGATATATATTATTGCCACAGTTTTGGATCCCAATTTTTCTTTCTTTTGGACTGAGAAGCTGTCATGTCAATCCAAGTCAAACAGACAACTTAAAGACAAATATTATTTCAAAAATTCGTCAATTCTGCAACAAGCATTTTAGCCATACCAATGTAGCCATTGACGGAAAAGTCTTACCAGAAAACTTACCCTCTAAGAAGCCAAGAACTAATTCATTTTTGAACTCTTATTGTAGATCTACACCTGTCATTTAGACTGGAACTACATAACAACTACCAGTTAAAAGTTTTGATACTCAGTTTCATTGCTATGAGGAACTGGTAAATGAAGTGTTTGCATCTAATTTCAATAGACATAGGTTGTCTCCAATTTTGGAAAATGCATGGGCAAAAATTACCAATTCTCCAAAGTGCTGCCATGTATACTTTTGTGGTACCTGCAAGCAGTGCTCCTGTTGAAAGGGTATTCAGTCAGGGTAGCCTGATTATGAACCCTAAGCGTGCAAGTTTAAATTCTGACACTGTTTGTCAGTTAGTGTTTTTAAAATGTAACACGGATATATTACTATAATTTTTTATGAAAATCAGCATTTGTAATCTTTTTTTCAAAAGAATGATAGAATAAAAACATTAGTAAATTGGCTAAATAGCTTATGAAGTGTTATGTCACTTTATTGTTTATTATGACTCCTTAGCTATTTTATTACAGATGGTTTATTTTACTTTTAAAGCTACTTTAGTAAATAAAGTAAAATTATAACTATTATCATGCTGTATTTTATAATTGTAAGGTGACTGTTTGAATGTAGCTACCAAAGCCATCGCAAGGTTCCCCCATGCCCCTCTTGTAAGAGGAATTTTGTGGTTTTTATGACAGGTTATGGAAGGGGCCTCCGAACTCCTAGCCGCGTCACTGATAGCCACCACATGCACGGGAATCTTTTATTGTAATATGACTTGACTTGAGACTTGACTTGACATGTCACTATATGACTTGAGACTTGACTTGAGACTTGCTCCAAAGCTACTTGAAAACAGCTCTGATATATATATATATACTTTGCGATGATAGATATACTTTGCAAGTTCGTCAAACTCCGGCTTTACCAATATTTGTTACTCAAGTTTAGTTTATACTTACGTATTGGTTATAATAACATAAAATATATATATCAGTTTTGTGAATTATAAAAAAATTTGCATATATATTTACCGTTAGCGTTTCTTCTCTCTCTAATATCTCCAAAATATTTTGATTTTTTTGCCAACGCTCTTTTCTTTTCAATCGCTGTAAATTATATATTACTATATATTTGTTTGTTTCAAAAATAAATGGTAGAATAGTATAATGCGCTTTTTAATAAGTACCTGGGCAGTTGTACATTCGTGAAACTTGTTCAATATCATCTTTACTGAGTTCTATATAAGGTGTTTTTCCATTAAGAGGCTTGATGGGGGAAATTGTATCTTTACCATTTGAAGAGAAAGCGTTCCATGGATAATGCATTATTGATGCATAATCGTAATCAACCCCTAATGAGCTTGTTTCTTTTACTATATCAAAAGCATCTTTAAACTGTGCCTACGAAATGGTGTAATATAAAATATTATACACAAAAACTGTGATTTTATATATACATATTTTAATTTATACTTACAATGTTTTCCCAGTGTATTTTTATCCATTGATCTCTGTCTATCCGATTTTGCTCATGATAAAAACCAACCTTAGTAAAATTTCTAAATTTTAATAAACTTCATAAAAACTTAAAAAAAAAACAACTGCATTAGTGCATTTCCCCCATAAATTTACTTCCGTTGTACAAGTTTCAGTTAGTAGGGAAAAAAAACTATGCGGCTTACGCATAAAATTGTTTTTCTTTATAGATTTATTTCCGATACGGAAACAAATTTGTAAAAAAGTTGAGGCAACGAAAGTAATCTTATGGATAAGATTTTAATTTAAAGATACATCAAAAAACATAGGTATGTTTTTTGTGAGAGTGAGTGGAGAGTCAATAAGCTGCATGCAATTTATGTTTCCTCAATCCTATGTATACATAGGATTGAGGAAACATAAATTGTATGCAGTTTATTGACTCTCCACTCACTCTCTCACTCTTTATACTTTTTTTAACTTTAAAATATGAACATTTTATGCATATCAATATTTTTTAAATTTCTTTGAAAATAGTTAAAAAAGGATAATAATTAACATGAGTAATTCAATTACAGGTTTCTTTATACTGTGGCTGTGGATATCTCAATTTACGTCGTGACTGTTTAGCTCAGTTGGTTTGAGCGTCAAATGAAATGTTAAAACCTAGACTGTTGTACAACACGATTTCAAATCTGGTCACCGCCATCGTAGCGCCCCTGAGAACTACTTCCTACGTAAAAGCTACGTCGCACGTCAAAAATTATTAAAAACCTTATGAAATCATCCGAATCACATTGCTTAGGACACAATATGAAAAACCCATTAGAGGATAGTTTCGCATTAGAGGGTAATATTATCTTGTACGCAACATGATGGTTACCTTATTGCAATGCTAAATACCGATAAATTTAGGTAGAAAAAAGAAAATTTTTAATTCATGCTAAAAATAAATTTAAAAAAAGTACATACCACGTGACCGATTTCATGAGTATTTACATGGTGATACTCGCAACCATCTCCGACCGAGATCTTTGTATATGACGTCATTCCGACATTTCCCCAGCAACTAAATTGTTATTAAATTTACATTGTTTATTGTTTGTATAACTTAGGTTGCGTTTATTTGAGAATGTTATTATTGTTTTGCAGTTATCTTTTTTCTTATTTTATCTTAACTTACACATAAAAAATAACTGTAAAAAAACTTACTGAGTATCTCGAAAGAATTCAAGAAAGTATTTCTCATTTGTACGTTTAACAAATCTGATGCAAGTTTTATTTTCCCATTCAGCCATTGCTTTTGTGACAGCTTCCACAGCATCAGGAAGATTTTCTGAAATCAAAAATAAAATATTAGATTCTTAAAAAATTAAAAAATCAATCCTTGAAAGTTGCGGCAAACAGACGTGTTTTCTTGTAAAGAATTTTTTTATAAATTTTAAAACAAATATTGTAATTTAACATTTGTTATCAATCTAATTGTCTTTAAATATGGCAGTTACCATTAGCGAAATGAGAAATATGTTCATGGAAATTTTTACTGCGTACAAGAAAGACATAATATTACTAATAAAGCATTAAGAAGAAAAAGCTCTCTAAGGACCGTCCTGAGGAGGAGGGGGGTGTCTATTCCCCCTACGAGTTTTTATTAGTCGGGAAATTAGACACTAGAGTTGGCAAAATTGAAATTATTGTTGGCAGTTTCTTTTTTTTTTTTTAGATAAGTTAGTGGGCAAAAAACAGACACGGCACCCCCTTTAAAATCTCTTCGGGACGGCCCTGAGCGCTCTTAAACTCATTAGTGCAAATGCAAAAATAACGAGTGACCGACAACAAAAAGCACAAATAAAAATTATTGAGAGTATGAAAAAAATTAAAAGACTCGAAAAGGATATGTTTGATATAAAAGAAAGTTTGAATTTTCACAAAGAGCTCATTGAAAAAAAGATTAAAAATAATATCGAATCTATCGAGAAAGAAAGAGTTTCTAAAAATGCAGCACATAAAAATATTGTGCTTTCCAACCTTAAAAAAAATGAGAGAAATTGAAGATTGGTCACGAAGAAATAATCTCTGGAACCAAAATAAAACATGAACGGAAAGTGAAACAAACCGTTTGAACACACTTTAGGGGTTAAAAATGTTAAAATTGAACGAGCACATAACTGCGGAAGTAAAGATGCAAAAATACCAGGTACAACCATGATAAAATTTTTAGATTACAAAGATAAAGTAGAAGTTTTTAAATTAAAGAGTTAGAGTATTTACATTAATGAAAATTTTGAAATTAAGGTAATAAGAAAATACTTGAGGGAAAGAATGAAACTGAGCGGCGGCTGGGAAAATTTGCATATATATCTTATGATAAGCTAATTGTACGCGATTGGGTATCAAAGAAACTGTGCCAAGAATGCAAGAGTTAAGTTTTATTGTTTTTTATTATTATTATTATTATTATTATTATTATTATTCTTAACTATTTTATTCGCAACTTTGTGTTTATACAAATGTCTTTTTTATTTCTATGATTGTTAATATTTTTTATTTTAATTAAAATTTCAACAAATAAAATGGAGGAAAATCTAAAAATTATTTTTTTTGATGAAAATACCATTCACAGGGACGAGAATGAATTTGATAACTTTAATCAACAAATATTTGAATGTCAATACTATACAGTTTTCGAATCTTTCTAATACTTACTAAAAAAGAAAGCTTTTTTTTTCAATTTTAAACATTAATATTCAAAGCTTAAAAACTTTTTTTAAAAACTTTAAGTTTTTGTTGCGTGAATTAAAACACGTTGATTGGAATCTAGTATTACAATCAAACGATGCACAGTGGGCCAGAAATCACTTTTACTGGACAAAATTCATAACTAATTTAATATTGGAGCTATCTTCACTAAAATTAGCATGAGTACTTATATGATGTCTGCGCTTTTTATGAAGGTATATTTTTTTATTTCGTTGCTATGGATACCTTTATTTTGCTAAACAACAACCTATTTTGTTATCTGCAGATATTTTATGAATGCTATATTCCCTAAATTTGACATGAGTACAAATATGAGATTATACATTATAAAAGTAATAATTTTTTAATTTAGTTGCTGTGGATACTTATATTGCTTAGTTACCAGATGTAAGTTATTTTTTATTTAGGTTAATGATTTTAATAATGCGTCATTAAAACTAAAGGCTATCATGTTTGCAGACGATACAAATCTATTTTTATCTAACTGCAATATTAATCAACTTTATGCTGACATGAACATTGAATTAGAAAAAGTAAATGATTGGTTCATGTCAAATAAACTTTCTCTTAACGTTGAAAAAACACAATATACCTTGTTTCATAAAAAAACACAAGAAGAAAACCTTCTTCTAAAACAGCCAAAACTTATTATAAATTATAAACAAATTAAAAAAAAAGATACTATAAAGTTTTTAGGAGTTATTGTGGATGATCATTTATCATGGCTCCCACACATAAAATATATACAATCAAAAATTAGTAGAACCATTAGTATTATGTATCGAACTCGCCCATACTTAAATTCACATAGTCTAAAGCTTATATACTTCAGCTTAATTCATTGTTACATTACTTATGCAAATATTACGTGGGCAAGTTGTCCACCAACAAAACTTAAAAAAATTCTTTCCTTACAAAATTATGCTTGTAGAATTATATACAACAAAAAAAGGGGGGACCACACTAAACCTTTAATAATGGATATGAAAATGATGAACATATATCAGATAAATATTTTCCAACACCTAAACTTTATGTATAAATATACCAATAATCTAACTCCTGAAATCTTCTTAATTAAATTTAATAAAAATTTAAATGAGAAGTATTTCGTAAGAATAAATCAAATTAACACATATAAATTACCTAAAAAAGTAAACAAATACACAGAATATAGTATAACTTATAGAGGTCCCAAGCTATGGAACTCTTTTCTAAAAGACAATTTAAATATGGTAAAATCTTTAAATTCATTTCAGTTTCAAACAAAAACTTACGTTCTAAATCTAACGGATTAATTTTTATTTTTGTTTACAAAAAATTTTTTATTAGCATTATATCTGATTATTTAACAGTTTGTATTTTTAAATATTATATGTAATCTTTATATATTATGTGTTGAATATAATATCATATATTTAATTGGAAATTTGTATTTAAAAATATTCTTTTATAACTTTTTGTGACTATTAGTATTTATTAATATTATATCTTTTTAACTATATATATATATATATATATATATATATAATATATATATATATATATATATATATATATATATATATATTTTACTACATGTTTTTTATTCACTATATGTATTTTTAAATATTATATCTTCTTTTTTGACTAGTTGAGGGTGTTTTTACTTCTAATTGATACATCTTCTTTTTTCTCTATTTTTATTCTTAAATATTATATCTTCTTTTTTACTATTTCTTTTTTTTTCCTAAATTTTCTACTTGATTTATTAACCATATATTACCAAATATTATTGTTATGATCTGTAGGGGCTCTATGAAAAGATCAGGTTGGTATTTTGCCATCCATATCTTATTTGAGTCCCTGACTGTTTATTACTTGTACATTTGTAATTGTATTTTATTTTTGGTGAAAGGAAATTGTAATTTATATAAACAGCAAAATAAAATAAAATTAAAAAAAAAAAAAGTTGATATTTGAATATTCTATCGGATTTTTGACCCACTTATAATGAATAACAATTGATTTTTAAGATTAATAATGTTTTTGCTATAATAAAAACAAAAAAATAGTGCAAGAAAGTATTGTCAATTTTAAATTACATTAAAAAATTATAAAACAATAACATCGTTTAAAGATTGTTTAAGTAAATGTAAAACATCTGAAGGAAAAGCTTTATGATTTGTGTGGTGAGATGTTGATTTACGCAGTGATGAAATAACAAGATCACTGGAAACTAGGAGTCTATTGATAAGATCAGTAATAGTTGCTTTTCTGGATGTTTTTTGGCTGAAATTTTCGCAATAAGATTTGAAGTTTTTATTTCTAACCTCTTGAGCTTCCTCTGACATAAGTCCGTTGGGTAATGCAAGGTTTTTAATTATATCATGTCCATGAATCAATACTTTGTAAACTGATTGAGTCATGTAATACCATGGATAAAGAGGCACATATATTCTAACAGCGTCAAAACAATTATCCTTGAATTTTATACTGTCTATTTCATATCCTTAAGAGAGTGTTACCATTATCATGTAAAATCTGAATATAAGGTTTTGATCAATACCCAGAATTTCAGCTGTTTCTTCATATGCTGCAAAAGCATGCCTTGAGGTATTGTCATCATTGCTTGTTCCAGAATCACTACTTTTAGGGAAATCAACAACAAGTCCCATTTTGCTCATAAAATCAGTCTGAATCTTTTGTTTAGCTAAAGATGCTTTTTCTTTGTGTTCTTTAGATCTTGTTTGCCACTTTCTTGTTTCTTTTTTATATGCAATGTGCACAACCATCTCAAAAAATAGAATCCATGCATGAAGAATGGAAAGACCATATTTGAACTCTCTGTTAAAATAATCTATATTAAGAATATCAAGACTATTCATATTTTTTGGAGAGACAACACACACTAAACAACATTAATATGAGTTAGTTTTTTCAGATAATATTGTTTGAACTTTCCCATCAATCATTGTAAACTCAATAATACAATTCATTTCATTAAAAGAACCGCAAACCTCTAATAAAATCATACCAATGCTTTCTATTTCACTTTTAATGTACTAATTTCTTCGATCACAGATTCCTTGGATTCCGTTTTGCGAGCAAACCTAATGGGTCTACAATAGGCTCTGGATGACGACTTTTGATTTCTCCAAATAGGCACCTTTTCGTTACTGTTGTTAAATCCAGACAAATCCAATGGGGCTAGACAAGTTATAAATAATGATTCTTCACACTTTAAATCTGCGTTCATGTAAGGTTCTGATAAAAATTATTTATAAATGCTTTAGCCAGTAGCACCATCAAAACCAGTTTTACACGTAAGTGTCATTGTTTTTATTGCTTTGTTATTCATTATCAAGTGCCTCAACACAGGTTCCTGAACTGCACAAATTGTTTTTTTTTGAAAATTAAATATTCATTATACCAATTAACAAACTTTTTTTAAAAACTTTGACAGTACAGTTTGCAGATTTTCACTTTATTTTTATACAAGTAAACAAATCGTTGAACAGTATGTCTAAAAATCAACGTCTTTAAATTCAGCAAATTTTTGCTGAATAAATTTCAATATATCTTCAGTAATATTTT